TTTTTATAGGTGCAACTTGAATAGAAAGCAAATAGGGTTTGTGTCCACCACCCTACAAATGCTGAGGCAATGTAGAGTTGGGTGTTGAAATAGGATCCAAGGAAAAGAGAGAAACTGTGAGGAAAGGCATTGGCACAAGTGGGACTAGTGCATCGCAGCTTTGGGGGGCTCTCATGGCAGTGGAGGAGGAATATTTCCTTCAAACAGGTATACCATTTTTTCTAGTAAAACTTCATAAGCAGAAAACTTCTGCTTGGATTTTACTTGCTTTTCAATATATTTGCAAGCACAAATAGGTCTTCTTTTGCCTCCATTGGCCTGTCTGCACACACATCAATTAGTTAAGAGTAGGCTGTTTGGTATGCACCCAAGCAATATTTGAATGCTTGCAAGGGGCAAGCTAATTTTCAGCAGGGCTAAATCCATATTCCTCTAAATAGTATGATAAAAACTGTTTTTCATTTTCATTGCAGTGCCTTTCTCTGTTTTCTTTCACTTTGACCCTCCTGAAGCGCAATACCTGCAGCTGGTTCATCAATGTGCATTTACTCCCTTTCTGGTCAGATACCTGGTTTCTGCAAAAGATGCTGGGAAGAGAAGAGGAAATGTGTTGGGCTCTCAAATATTTGCACTAAGATTGCAGTGACCTACATTTAGTAGTAATTCCCCTGCAGACTCTAATCTTTCTGTGTGAGGTTCAGTGACTTATAAATCCCCGCACTTATTATTACCCCAATTAACTGTTTACCTTCTTAGCAGTTAGGTGTTGAACTTAAAGCATTGACAGACTTATTTTGGGTAATACCATCATCGGGTTGGTCAGGTTATATTATTTTCTCACATTAGGAATATTTTGAGGCAGTAAATAACAGTTACTGAATTATACACCAGTTTGGAGCTATGTAAAATTGGCTTTTGAAATAAAACCACGAGGACTTTTACTGGTTGCACCTGCCCAAGAAAGAACTCAGCAGCCCGGCTGTGACTCATGTGGAGTGTTTCCAGAGTTAGGACAATACTGTCCGGACCACTACCACAAGCATTTCTGCTCAATGGTTAAATTCCAAGAGTTTTTACAATAGTTTATGGAAATTTTAAGTTGTTCTGCATGTCATTAATATTATTCTTTTGTACAATTTACTCAAATGCAAGAGAGAACTAGAGAAAACATACCTATATTAGTGAGGTGTTGAGCACTATGTAAAAAACATGCCTAAGTTTGTATTAAATGCCTTAAATGTTCATTTTTCTTTCAAAATTTCCATCATCCTAGCAGTTACTTTGACACATTTTTATATGAGCTTGAGGAGATTTGTGTTTCTTTTGCCACAATTAATATTTTCCAGCAATCTTTTTATGAGATCCAGCAAATTAAGCTGCAGGAGGCTTTTGAAATATGATGCATACAGCTCAACAGATTGATCCTCAGGATGGCCTTTCATTTGAGGGCAGCTTTGATGATCTAATGTCTCTTTTTTATCTCTCAGTTTTTCTTGCCTTGCCTTGTGTTTGAGGAGGAACTAAAGTGCATTTTTTTGAAGTAAGAATACTGAGTTGAGCCAGCAGTAATCTTATTTATTGGCTCTTTTACCTTTGCTCAGATCTGTGGACACCACCATGTGTTTTTGTATTTATGTATTTACACAGATGTCTGAACTTGGGTCCCAGATGTGTTTTTTCCTGCGTAGTTGTTGTATATTGGGAGATACTTTCAAGAATACAGGCTGTGTAATTTTGATAGATCTTGTGATACTTTTTGCTCAGCTAGAAGAATCCACTGGATTTGAGGTTGCACCTCCTAATTATGTTGGAATTGATCATTATTTTGTGTGTTCATGGTTAAATGTAGCAAAGAGAAGGCACATGATACTAGAAGTAATATTCAAATGAATCCCATGTTTAAAAATTAACAAAAAATACAGAGCAAATTATAGTCTGTTATATAAATGAAGATGCAGTATGGTGTTTTGTAAGTACTTAGCTTATTCTTGCTCTAATTAAATTTTCTTGCCTACTCTTTTAATGCCAATGGTGCGGTTTCTTCATGTTGTCTACAGATGTGGTATCCAGAACATCTAGTTCTGTATTTATCTCAAGTGAGCATTGTATGTAATTTTTAATACAGCTTCTTCAATAAGGAGTGATGTGAGAACTCAGAAGGGATTGCAACAAAATTAACAGTGGGTTTGGATCCTTTCTGTTATTCTAGGCTATGCGAGAAGAACTGTGAGCAAGCAAATGATTTATGGAATAACATCTGACAAAATTTCCTTTAACTGTGGTGAAACAAGAGCATGTGGTGTTGAAATTAATGGGATCTATTTGTGTGCACATTGTGGAGAGGAGGACTGAACCTTGATTCAGACATTATCTACTCACTTTCACGTTCCTGTGCTTCAAGCAGTAGAATCTGACTCTGCTATTTTATTTAAAAAAACAACAAAAACCGAACTAAAAAGCCCCAGCTCTCTTTTACAATAAAATAAAATCTCTTTTGTGTAAAAAATCTCATTAGAAAAATCTTGATTACTACTCTTAATTATTGCAGATAAAGCCTAAAGACTAAGGTGCTGCATTAGTGAACTTGAAGGAACAGAATATATTGTTTTATGCACAAAGGTAACAAGTAAACTGGAAAAAAATGTTTTCCCCTTTTCAG